TGCTTGAGCTTCCTTCACAACATTTTGAGTCAATGAGCTGATAGCACCGAATATACCATTCTCCTTGACAGAAGAAGTCGTGGTATCGATCAATTGATTTGCCATGTCTGTTTGTTTGGTGATGATGGATTGAGCTGCATCACCAATGATTGGGATACCACCAACAACATTTTTGGTTGTGTCTAAAGCTTGGCTGGCTGACTCGGTACCCTTTTGGATGATGGATGTACCTGTTGCTTGTGCCTCGTTTACAACACGTCCAGCTGCTGACGTGATAGCTCCAAATATACCATTCTGCTTGACCGAAGAAGTTGTACTATCAATCAATTGATTTGCCATGTCTGTTTGTTTAGTGATGATGGAGTCTGCTGCATCACCAATGATTGGGATACCGATGACAAAGTATTTGGTTGAGCCTAAAGCTTGGCCGGCTGAGTTGGTACCCTTTTGGATGATGGATTCAGTTGTTGATTGTGCCCCGCTTATAACATTTTTACCTGCTGATGTGATAGCTCCCAATATACCATTCTCCTTTACTGAAGAAGTTGTAGTATCAATCAATTGACTTGCCATGTCTGTTGGTGTGGTGATGATGGATTGTGCTGTATCACCAATTATTGGGATACTGCCGATAACAGATTTGGTTGTGTCTAAAGCTTGACTGGCTGAATCGGTACCCTTTTGGATGATGGATTCAGTTGTTGATTGTGCCTCGCTTATAACATTTTTGGCTGCTGAAGTGATAGCTCCAAATATACCATTCTCCTTGACGGAATCTGTTTGTGAGGTGATAATGGATTGTGCTGCCTCACCAATTATTGGGATACTGCCGATAGCAGATGTGGTTGTGTCTAAAGCTTGGCTGACTGACTCGGTGATGGATTCAGTTGTTGATTGTGCCCCGTTTATAACATTTTGGGTTACTGACGTGGTTACTGACGTGATAGTTCCAAATATACCATTCTCCTTGACCGAAGAAGTTGTGGCATCGATCAATTGACTTGCCATGTCTGTTTGTGACGTGATAATGGATTGTGCCGCATCACCAATGATTGGGATACCACCGACAGCAGATATGGTCGTGTCTAAAACTTGGCTGACTGATTCGGTACCCTTTTGGATGATGGATGCACTTGCATCTTGTGCCTCACTTACAACTTGTTCTACAGCTGACGTGATAGCTCCAAATATGCCATTCTCCTTGATTGAAGAAGTTGCGGTATTGATCAATTGACTTGCCATGTCTGTTTGTGTGGTGATGATGGATTGTGCTGTGTCACCAATGATTGGGATACCACCGACGACAGATATGGTTATGTATATAACTTGGTTGGCTGATTCGGTACCTTTTTGGATGATGGATGCACTTATTTCTTCAGTTTCCTTTACAACTTGGTTAACTGTTGAGGTTATGGTTCCAAATATACCATTTTCCTTGATGTAAGATGTTGTGGTCTCGATCCACTGAATAGCCATATCTATGCGTATAGTGATCATAGATTGTGCTGCCTCACCAATGATTGGGATACTTCCCACAACAATTTTGATTTTGTCTAGTGCTTCTTTAGCATAGTCAAGTCCATTCTCAAGGATGGATTCAGTTCTAGAAACCAAGTTTTGGAATACAGACTTCTGGGCGTCAATAAACTTTTGGAAGAGGGACTCTATCCTGCTTAACCCATCCTCAAGGATAGTTCTTACTTTGTGGACTAGTGGTCCAAAGAATTCCTCAATAAAAGATACTTTTTCTTTAATATATGAATTTAATCCGGCGATGAGGTTCTTGATAAAATCTGGAGCGTATTTGTCCAACTGTTAAATGAAATTGTTTTAAAATAGTCAGGACACATCATGAAGAAATGAAATGAAAAAAAATAAAAAAATTAAAGCTTAGTAATTAAGATTTCATGACTTATATGTTAAGTTATTACTTATGCATAACGTAACACATAAATTATTATCATATCTAGCTTCACAGATGAAATTATGTCGATCCGGTTAATTAACTTCATTAGCTAAAAAACACTGCATATAATCTATTAGTTGAAAAGCAGTATGTGTATATGTACCTTGTCATCAATAAAACTAAGCTTATAGTCACACAATATTATGAGCTTCTCGTTAATCAGTTGTAAGGAGGAGATGACTTTGCTTTCCACAGAAACAATCGCACTTTTGAGACAAAGGGAGTTATCTTTGAAAAAATCATATAGATTCGTCAAGAGTGCTAAAGCTTTCAGCTCAATCAACTGAACAAATCCTACGTATTTTAGTTCCTGCATCATGAAAACACAGAAGCCATATCCAGTAGACTAAACTTGTAAATTTCAAAGATAATCATAATCTTCGACAAAGAATTTAACAAAATGACATTAGACCAACAAGAAATGATAATTACTGACCTCGTATACAACCATAGCTCCCAGACGTTGTGAAACGAGCTCCAAACTATGAAAGCTCGTAGGTCACAAATATCACTGAAAAATATAAATGAAAGATGATCCGTTAATGCATATATATGATCATGGAGTTGCAATATTATATACCCTTACTCATTTGTCCTCTAGCATCATGGACCATATGATATTGAAGTTACAAATAACCTTTTTTTTTTTTTTTTTTTTTTTTTTTTTTTTTTGGTTTTTGAAATGATTATTGAAAGTTAAGATTGATAAAAAAAAATATAACTAAACATGTAGATTTTCCACTGCTCTGTTTTAGCAAATCTGATTGCTTTTTTGATTGCATGTTTATAGATGAAACTTATATATGATGATAATTTTTTGTAAAAATATCACAAATTCCGTCCTTACTATTTTTTTTTTTTGAAGAACATGGTCCTAATGGATTTCAAAACATGGTCATAAATGATCGTTTTTTCTAATACCGTTAGCTTCTGTCTATTAATCTAATAGTAATTTAGTATTGTGATGCATCAGAGACTCAGTTTCTTACCATGGATAAATCATAAGGATTGTTGATGTATTGTTGTTTTTATTTAATGTTTATAATTTTGTGACTTTTCCGTACCTTTTATTTTTTTTTAAAATGTCACTTTAACCCTTTAAACTTATAAAATCTTAATTTCACACCTCCATTTATAGAACGTTTGTGCTTATCCCCCGTAGTTTATATATATATATATATATATATATATATATATATATATATATATATATATTGATTTTTCTTAATAATTTTCGTTTGATAACAAAAAAAAATTCATTTTTTACGTGTTTATTTTAATATATGTTTCGGTATGAATTCAAGATGATCAACATTTTGACGTGAATTTATAACTTCCATTCCTTAATTTTATTTTTAAAAAAAAAACTTACTTGTTTTTTATGCACGTGTCCAATTAAAGTTTATCTACTTTTTAACCTAACTTTATTTATGTTTTCATGCTAAATTTTATGCATGTTTCATAATAAGAGATGAAAATTAACCGTGTTAACAAAAATGACATTTAAATATGTAAAAGGTTAGAAAAGATCCAAAGTGAAAATACCAAATTACCATCAAACTAAGAGATGAAAATTAACTTTGTTAAGAAAAGGGATCATTCTTGCAAGTTTTAAAAACATATGAACCATATTCATTAAAACAAATTAACAAAGACAATTTTTGAGGTTTAGGAAACCACATGGACAATTTATTTAATTTTGTCTTAAATATAAGTCATTTTACATACAATAATCAAACTTATAAAAGTAAAAGAACTTGATAACGTGGAACTCGCTGATATTAAGTTCAAACAGACCTTCTCCTACATGTCAAAGAGGCCTTACATGTGAAAATGTTGCTTAATGCTAAATTTTATAATTCTTGTCGTTGATAGTGTGTTTTTAAACTCGTTCAACTTCAGTTTTACATTTTATAAAATATCAATAACTTTTCCTAAAAATTTCGTTCTCTCTGTTTGCAGATTATATATTATTAAACTTTATTTGTCCCCGCGTAATAAAATTTTAGAAGCAGTTTATTTACGAATGAACTAACGTTTAGTTAACGCGTAAATGATACATCAAGTCGTACATGATAATAAACATCTTCTTTTTTACCATCCTATCTTATTACTTTAGTTATATTGTTACATAATAGCATACTAGTAGTTTATTACAAATAGTACATGAAGTAGTACATCGTAATAATTTTTTTTATACCGTTGAATAAGTTTATATATATATATATATATATATATATATATATATATATATATATATATATATATATATATATATATATATATATATATATATTAGAGAGAGAGAGAGAGGAAAGATCATTTAAGAACTCATAGTTTCCCGAGAACCCGAAAAACAAAAGTGGATCGTTGGATCCAAAAAATGGATGGTTAAGATGCATTGTTTCATTTTTGTAAATAAGTGGAAAAATGAAGGGATGGGGGCATCGAAATTAAATGGAATCATGGGGATTTAGGGTTATAGAAATTGAATTATACACATACGTCTCCTGACGACCATTCCTAATCAGATCTCTCTCTCTCTCTCTCTCTCTCTCTCTCTCTCTCCGCCCCACCTCTACAACGTATCTCTTCCCCTCGTCTCCATCCTCCCTCAATCGGTCCACCTCTATGTCCATCGATAATCAACATTGGCTACCAATCAATAATCATTAATATCCATATCATCGACGAAGAATTTACGAACCTACAGATCGACATCGTTCGTGTTCATCTCCGCTTGCAATATTCGAAGCCCTAAATCGTCTGATTCATGATCATTGATTCATCGAGATCGATCATTAATGATCCATCAAGTGTTTGTAAGCATCAATTTGTCATCATTGATCATCTCTTAAGATCTTAAAGTCAAGCATATAACCATGGAAATTCATTTAGGTATCGGTACATCATCTCAAATTAACGATCATCGACTGGTGACTCTACTCGGTGGAACTACCACAACCACAACTGCAGCTCCGATTGTACATTCTCCGGTGAAGGTTCTTTCGACTACTTCCGCCCAACGTCTCCTCTTCCAATAACAAGTCATTCTGAATTCCTCCCAGCCTCGAGAACTTCAACAATACTTCAACTTTATCACATTAATCATCTTCATCTTTATCAATACATGTAGTGGTTTGAATTTTTACAAACTATTATGTTCTTTTGCACGAGTAATTAACAAAGTGAAGTAATTGTTACTAAATTCATTCCGAGATTTGAGTTCATTTGAAGATTTCATTGGTCAAATTGGTCCATTTCACCTTGAAATCGATGAGGATAAGTTTGGTTATTGATAGGAAACACTTTTGCTATTAGATTATACAAAAATTGGCACGATATACCCGCTAGCTCTTATGTAATAAAACTAGAAGCGTAAATGCTAATTTTGTATTTCAAGAATTACTAGGTTTTTCAGTATGAAGGGACTCTAACGGGAAGAAGAGATATGAACTTTTTTGATCATATACTCTCTCACCCATTTGTAAGTATTTGGATTTTGGGATGTCCATAATATTATAGCTTTACCTTGTTGGCGATTTTCCAAACGAGAATTAGACATTTGACCATTTGTTACTGTTAAAATTAGTCTTAGGATCTCCATGAGTGCGTAGATGTTCTTCAAATGCCATATAATGTTTTAGGATTGCAAATTGGTTTTGCAAGCAATTGTAAACTTTCCAATTGCCAAGTCCAATTCACTTGATCAAAGTAACTTGCTTCTAATTAAAACATAGAACACTGGTTTGAGTATTTAAGAATCAAGATAATCAATGTTGCCTCCATATACAATCATTTCAAGTATCTAAAATGTTGTAGGTGATTCTACTCTATATATCTTTCAACCCAACACCCTAGTTCATATCTCATTTTGAATGAGTATATTAGTATATTTGCATATATCCATTTGGGATACAAGAAATCATCTGTTTGACAACTTATACATCTTAAATCATGTTTCTTATTTAATGGAGGTTCTACTAGAAAATTTTTCATTACATTTTGATGGTAGGGTTTCATTGCAGGTTTTTTTTTCTTGGTGGCTGTATTTATGTTATCAATAATATTAGTTCCAGTGGCCCTTCTCTTGGTTCTGGTAAAAAAAAAACTTTTTGTTTGAGTTTTTTTTCCAGCTTTATCACAAATCCATGAATAATTCCGAAGAAGACATTGATGCCTCTATCATGATGATGTATCTTGAGTTACCAGTATCATACCACAATTACCATTAGGTTTTGTGTGTTTTTGATTTATTAAAGTTTGTTTTTTATTCAGATACTTCCTCAAGATATGCTGAAGAAGTACATCACGTTTGCAAAATTACATGTTTTCCCAAAATTGCATGATGTTGATTTGGACAAACTTACACAAGTGTATACTGAGCTGAGAAGAGAATCATCGGTAAGTTTGTGATTAAAAAAAGTGTTTATTATCTTAGGACTTATAACCCAATAGAGGATGAATAGATTGATTATATGCATTTTAACCTTTTAGCTTTGATTGTTTTCAATAAATATCTTCATGCGAATTATTAGAATGCATTGACATACAAACTAGTAATTGTCCTAATGCTTTATAATTAGTTTCATTAATTAATGATACTAAAAATGTTCATGCCATATTTGTTTATTTTCTGGTTGTCAGTTATGTAGGACAATCAAACTAGCATATGACATGATTAGGTTGCAAATTTAGGTTGCTTTCTAGATGGTTAATTTTGGAATTTATTTTCTCACCATACCTTAAACATGCTTACAATGAAAAACATAACAAAAACATGTGAAATGAGCACATGTTATGATTTTAATCATGATTAATGACCTTATATATAGATTATTCAAATGACTACCCTTGTCTTTGCATTCTAATAAAAATAATTTTATCATATGTGATCTAGAATTAATCATATGTAAGTCATATATGAATTGTGATTCATATGTGAATTACATGTGATTCACATGTAAATCATATGTAATTCACATATGAATTACATGTGATTCATATGTAAATCACATATGAATCACATTTGATACACATGTATTTCACATATGAATCACATGTAATTCATATTCACATGTAATTCACATATAAATTACATGTTATTCATATGTAATTCACATATGAATTACATGTGATTCACATGTAACTCACATATGAATTACATATGATTCATATGTAATTCACATATGAATTACATGTGATTCATATGTAAATCACATTTAAATCACATATGAATTACATGTAATTCACATATGAATTATATGTGATTCACATGTAAATCACATATGTATTTTTGTGAGTGTTTTTTCATCAATTAATTTCTTTTTAATTTTCTTGTAGATTTGGAAGAAATTATGGTGAATAATGAAGAAGTGAGAATGATAAATTGAAGAAAATATGGAAATATTGACATGAAAACGCTTTGAATTTTTGTAGCATTTTTTTTCT